TCATTTCCTTGCTTAAATCGTTTTTAATATATGTTTACTCATGATTGTTTTCTTTGCTTTTTGCCTTATAATCTCAAGTACGTAAAATGATTGAAGTGCTTTCTTTTTTTGTGTTATTCTTCATCTGGTTTGATTCTTTTGTTAAATTGTTGATACAAACCAACAACACAGCACGAGAGCTTATGGTGTAGACGTAGCAGCAGCAGTAGTAGTAGTAGTAGTAGTAGTAGTAGGTAGTAATGTTGTGATGTTGCTTTTGTACTTTATTGAGTAAAAGCATTCATTTAATGTTATTACACTTCAGCGATATTTTTTTGTGCGCAAATTTCTGGTTTTCAGGCTCTTGTTTTGGAAATTTTAAGAAAGTGCTCGTTTTTTTTTTTTTTGTTTAGCCCAGCTTTTGAAGTGGTTTATTAGGTCAATACTTTAATGAATTTTTTTAATACAAATAGCTCTCTTTCCAATTCAAATTGAGTTTCTTAGAACATTGCGTAGATTCATATATCAATTTCCTCTTCTTTTGTATATCTTTTTACCTTTCCTTTTCCTTATTTTTTTTAAAAAAAGAAATAACATGATTTTTTAATGTATATTAATAAGATCCTATTGGGTAAATATATTAAAGCAAAACTCTTTTGCTACTTTTTTCATTTTTGTTATCATTACGAGTATAGGGGTATTATTGTTGTACTGTAGCACAGTTGGGCCAGAAATTTGGAAACTTGTCCAGCATGGATTCGAGTATGAATTCTGTGGATTGTCCTCCATGATCTATAATATTTGAAAATGGGCCTAACCAAAGTTTGGAAACTTTCGATATAAATTTTGTCAAATGTATCTACTATGGCTTTCGTTGTTTAGGTAAAAGAGTGGCTGGAAGTTGCAAGCTTGCACATAAAGTACATATGCTGATCGATGCCCAGAAATGATCATCAAGTTTTCTTTATTAAATGTTATTTATAATAGACAAAAAACCCCAAGTACATAAAATATGTATGCACTACTGGATCGAGAAATCGACAATTGATTGGCAAAGTCACGCCAGTTTGTTATCACCTTAACGCAATCTCATTAAACTCATTGAGTGCCATCCTTTAAAAGTAGTACCAAACAATTCAGAATTGTATATCAAATATAAAGAGGATGGGCCGATCAAAGTTACTATAAAGTTTGATATTTTCGTATATATCACGTGGTTACTTAGTGTTGAACGGACCTTTTTTTTATAGAGATATATGTGTGGTTTTGAAAGTGTTTTTTTAATAGACTTTTGTAAGCACTTTAAAAAATTTAAATTGCTCTTCCCGGCCTCAAAATTATTTCTTGTTAATCGCATCATATAAATATATAACATTTTAACTGCTTCTTACCGCCTGTGTACATATAGGATTGGAGTTTTTTGGAGCTAAAAGACGATAAAAAAACATTTCACTTGAAGCATTACCCATGGCTAGCTGTACATTTTTCCCACCTGTCTGATAGGTTGTGGATGGCGCAGCAGGAAAATTGTCTTTTGAAGCAAAGCAGTTTTCAAATCATTATCCTGAACCACTGGATGGATAGATAGACGTCTTGTAAAAAAACAACTTTGTGTTCACTTTTTCCGTTCCACCAAAATTTAACATTCAATAACAGCCCACATTCGTCTTGTTCTATCAAACACAGAATATCGGCTTCCTGCTAAAGCGATTCAGTCTCGCAGTCAATGTGAATGGTTACGCCTATGTCTATTCTTGCATTTTTAAGCCTGGAATTCTTAAAATAGATCCACTTTTCATTTCAATTAGATTACGATGGCTTTCTTGTGTGTATCGTTGGGCCAAAGAAAAAATGCTCGGCGAATGTGCAGAAAACGAGACATTTTTGTTGGTAGAGGCTTTGTCCGCAAGAGTAGCCGACTAAGTAAGAACTGCGACTAGCAAGTCAATATTCGGCAATTCAAATTTCTCAATGCGGTAGAGTTTACCTTGGTCGTAGTATAGCGTTCAGCCGGTGAAATCATGGCACCGATTAATTCAGCGCACAGGCTCACTTGGCTGCAACCATCCCCCTACATCTTCCCCTTTCTTCACTTCCTCTGTTTTCTAGCCATTACCGTGTTACCCAGATAGGGGATATCATTAACTATAATCGATGAAGGGAAGAATTAACTGCAATGTTATATAATATGTACATTGAATCTATTATCGACAAAATTTTATCCTTGACGATCGAATATAATGCTTTTTTGGATCGAAGTTTATTCTTCACTTTTGATCAAAAGAAAATTATCTTTTATGAAAGTGAAAGACAAATTATTATTATTTACATGCTGCGTGACAGACGAGTTGTGTTAGGGGAGAATAAGAGGGGGGAGAGTGATTAGAATCTTTGAACAATAAGAAAATTTTGCATCATATGTAGCGGTTCTCCTTTCTCCTAAACGATACAAATTGAGCGAATTTATGTGTTTATGGGGTTTCCGTGCATTAGTTTGCGCATGTTTTGCAACATTGCTGCTAAGCTAGTGTAGCAGCAGCGTTCTTGTGATATCTTCTGCTTTTACAATTTATTTCTATGTGATATTTTTAGACCATTTCTGTTTATTTAACATACACACGAAGCACGCAAAACGATAATAAGGAAAAAATAGTTTTTCAACAATTCACCACAAAACATCTAAATTAAAAAAATGTACAAAGCTTCTAAAGCAGAAGCACGTATGGCATTGTGTTGCTAAAATCAATAAATCTTCTCGATCGTATTGAGGTGATTTTTTTCTTTTCTTTTCATTTTTTTCCCACTTACAACTACGTTATATAGGAGGTATGTATGAAAAGAAAATATAGTAGAACAACTGTAAAATACATGAACATCATGAATACATGGAATACATGTATTTCAATAGGAGAATGTGCGCATGTTTTTTAGAGAGGTATAGGAAAGCTTCAGAGTATACAATAAAGTGGTAATAAGGCGCGTATAAGAAACAGGAACATAAGTTTGCACTCGTGTGTCAGATCAGAAAAAGAAAAAAAGAAAAAAAAAAGAAAAGAAAAACCGATAAATGATACGGAGAGACACAACAAACATCAGTAGCAAACGAGAAAATAAAACAAGGCAAGGTTACATTCGATTTTATTTCAAGATCTTAAAACTATTCTACGGATATTAGATTTTTTCATTTTTAATTTTTTTTTATTTGAATGGCCAAGTGGTCAAGTAGGGCAGCAATGCGCTGATTAATGTTGACAAACTTCATGTTATAAACAAGAATGATAAAAGATAATCAAAGAAAATATAATAACAACAATAACAAGTGTTTATATATACATTATATGAAAAATATCGTATTACCACTGTTCTGAACTGTGACTGCTGTCAACAATTTCTGTGAACATAATATACTTTTTACTTTGCTTATGTGCGTTTTTTTTTTTTTTTTTTCAGTTTACTAACCGAATTTAAAATGAAACGTTTTGTTTTTTCTTCTTTTTTTTTTTTAAACATTTTCCAAGAAACTTATTTAATGTTTCAAATACTTTATGCATACATGTACGATTTACCAAAGTTTTTCTTGAAATTGTAAAATTAATGTAAAATAAGTAAGAAAATCATGTAAGCCTTGAAGCGAATTTTGATCACCCTTCTACCACTTTAAGCGTTGGTGTTGGTTGGAAAAGTCGCTAGGCAAGCCTCAACCATTTAGACGAATCCGATAAACTTTTGTTTTGCTTAGTGGTGTAACTATCTCTCTTTTTCCCTTTTTCGCAAGCATAGGTTCAGATTAGAGTTTGTGTATATAAACCATGCGTCTATATAACCACTTGCAGTTTCCAAGCTAGCCTTTGCTGGGAGCTAGGAGCCGATCTTTATTTTGATCGTATATTTATTTGTTTATGTTGGTTTTGAAGAAATCTCTCATAGACATTTTTGAATGTTTCAAAAGGAATGACAGAATTAATAGCGAACGCATTTTTAGCGACGTGTGTGAGAAGAAATGAATTCTTTCTTAAACTTAACAGACCTTATCCACACACCTATAAAAGTTATCATGTGTGTAAAAATGCTTCGTATAACTTTTAATATTTATTTTAAAGCAAAACACTAAAATGGATTTGAAGGTAATGTGCGTCTAATGCCTTAATAAAATCTATTCAAATAATACATATGCTACCATATATATATGTATATATATATACATACATATATATATATATATACATACATATATATATATATATACATACATATATATATATATATATAAGCAAAGCAGTAATAGTATCATTTGACCCAAGTACATATACTCACCGATAGTTATGTTGCTTAGCTTTATTTCTACATAAATCATTGAGAAAATGAACACTAACTAACTAACTAACTATTCATAGGCTGTGTTTTTTGCCTTTCGGAATCCGCTTCACAGTGAGCTACCAAGCAAGTGGAAGAAAGAAAATACGTTTTTTGTAAGTTAATACCTTTGGTTATGTATAATTGAGAATACGCTTAGAAAAAAAAGAAAAAAAAAAAGAAGCGATGGGTTTAAAGGAAATAAAAGATTTTCTGAAATATAACTAAATTGGAGCTTAGCTCTGTTTAATCACAGCTTAGCTAAGCTTAGTTTTTGTTTACTTATCCAACTCTAGTAGAAAATTATGTTCGAAATTTCTGTCTCAATGGTTAATACTCTGATGATTTTTCATTACTTAGCATAATGTTCAGTGGACGAACTCGCTTTCGCATTACTTGTAGTCCCTGATATTCCTTAAAATGAGTTTCGCGCACCTGTGGTAAGACAGCGCTT